AAACGAAATAATTTTTCCCAAGAAATACATAAAACTCAACATTTTACTGTGTCAGGGAAACAAGTAACCAGAGTCAGCGTTTCATTCCATGAGAGTACATAACATCAGTTCTCCAGAGAATTCTGATCAGACCTCCCAAAACACAAAGCCTAGCTTCCAGCTAACTTCAAGTAAACATATTACTGTGGAGATTAGGATCAAAACATCAGAAAAATATTCCATTTCAACTACATGATGCTCAGAACATTATTTATTTATTGGGCTGAGGCAAGCGATAGTTCAGGGAGACAGGATTTCGTTATTTTTTTATGTTGTCTTATGGTAAAAGTACCATATCTTTGTCATGAGATCATCCACATCTTTGTCATGAGATTTGAAAAGTCTGTCATTCTTTGTCAGACCAATCCTGCTTTGTATCCAAACATGGTATCAGTTTATAAAGGGCCATAACCTGAAGTCCTTACTCACGCAAACTCTTATTGACATCAATGAGAGTTTTGTTTGAGGAAAAGCTGTAAGATGTGGCCCCTGCTGTTTAATGATTGTTGTGTGTAGGGGATATGTTGCCTTCAGCATTTTCCAAAGCAGATATGGGTTCACCCATAAAGTCTCTCTATTGCTTATTGAGGAAGGATGGTCCAGTGGTTAGGATACTGGCATCATACTTAAAAAGATTTGTGTTCAAGTCCCCCCTTGTCCATGGCCTTTGTGTGTGATCAGAAGCAGATTACAGCCTCTCTGTGCCTCAGTTTCCCATCTGTGAAATGGGTATAAGAATAATTGACTACCAGACAGGCATAATGTGATAAATATATTAAAATACTATGGTGATGGGTGCCATATAAATACCTTGGAGAGAGAGAACTTTTCAGCATAGATTAACCCTAAAAATCTAATGAACCACTCCTTGAAAAAAACTGAGGGGGGGTTCCTTTTTTACATTAATGTAATAGCTGAATGCCATTGATTTGAACAGATGTGCATTCATAGCATTTTGAGCATGACTGAAATTATTTGTCTGTGCACGTTGTGCACTGCAAGTGTGCATTAATAGCTCATCAGTGCCAGGGCCGGCTCCAGGGTTTTTGCCGCCCCAAGTGGCGGGGGGGAAAAAAAAAAAGCCGCGATCGCGATCTGCGGCAGCTCCAACGCCCCACTTTCTTCTTCGGCGGCAATTCGGCAGCAGGTCCTTCCCTCCAAGAGGGACCGAGGGACCCTCCGCTGAATTGCCACCGAAGAGCCCGACGTGCGGCCCCTTCCCCTTGGCCACCCCAAGCACCTGCTTGCTCAGCTGGTGCCTGGAGCCGGCCCTGATCAGTGCATGCCCTGTTGTTTCTTTGTAAGCCGATGGACTGATTTAGCAGAAACAAATCAGAAATATAGTCAAGTAAGGGTTTACTTCAGAGGACGTGTATAGCTGTGACTCAAACAAAAACAAGTAACAAACTACCCCTCTGACTGAGGTTCAACCCAATCCCATGTCCTTGGGTGTAGAGTCCTGCCATTCCACAGGCATGTCCCCTCCCAAGTAGGTGTGCATGAGGTGAGGGAAGATCACCTAAATTTATCTAACCTTTGCTTTAATGAGGACTCTGTAGTGGCACTGCACCCAGTTACACATGGTGTGCATGTTTCTATGTGTCAGTCTCTAGTGGTATGAGTACATAAGATGATCAATTTTATATACTCTTGTACTTATGTTCATTTTTTGTAAATTATAACAATATCCTATGTAACTCCTATTAATATTAATGGAAGTCATGCATGTGAACCAACAGAAGAATAGGCATAAAAGGTCAGAATTTCATAAAGAAGGGTCAACATTACCTTTGCATGTCTACATTTGCACCGACACATCCAATAAAGGTACATGCAAAGGGAGCCTTTGTGCATAAGATGGCTATTTAGATCCATTTGTTTGTGCAAATGCCCAATACACCTATACAGTTTCAGTAATTGTTAGTGCAAAAGAACAGCACAAGTGAACGCAGGACTAGGGCGATACTTTATGAAAACTACACTCAAAATATTTAACCTGTTGTTAAGTTTAGTGATCCAGGCAAGATTTCTTCCTTTTCTTATGTTACAAAGTTTTAGCTTTGAGAGTTAAGTTTTCCTCAACCAGTAAACCCTTTTGATGAGGAAGCTATGATTTTTCTTGGGACAGTATTTATTACCTTCTGGCCTAAATTAGCTGTAAATCCACTAATTGTCAAACTAAATACCTAAATAAAAATTCAATTGCACTTTATGAGCTGGATCCACAAGACCTATGTTGATTTATAGCAGCTGAGGGTCTGGTAAATGAAATTAATAACAATAATGTCTTTGCTGTGAGTACTATCTATATAGTTTGGATCATATTCATGGCAAAGAGCTCAACTTATTTCATGTTTGGTTGGAGGGGGATGTAAGTTGAGATCAGTTTTGAGTGAATCTGTGTTGATGCATTGTTTGACCCATGTCCAGAGGTGGTAATAAATAAACTCCCTCCATTATCTACAGAATAGTTCCCACTTCCACAAATTTATGTTTGCTATAGTATTGTTAGGATAACAGGCTGCACTACATGCAAAAGCAGATGATACCTCTTAAAAAATTGCAACATGGCAGTCTTTACAGTTGAACTATTGATTGCTGTGCTCAAAGAGGATATTGACAGGACCCAAGTATGTGGAAGTCCAGCTTCAGACTCCTGTTATATTATAATCCAAGAACAGAACATTAAATCAATCTGTAATATTATTAAGGGAGCACTTGATTCCCACTGATTTGAGTTATAGACTATTTGACTTTTTTACTGCACACTGTCCTGGCTAGTGCAATGATTTAGTGCGGTTAGAAAAATAGTAAATCAATTCAGCTAAAAATGTTTTCAATTTGCAGGGACAACAAGTTTTCCACAGCTTGTGCCAAATGAACGAGCCATTATTTTTGGTCTAATATAAGCATTCCATCATCTTCCCCAGCCCCTTCTTCACAATCGTGACACAACCCCTGGGGAACAGAATAAAAACAGAGTCCTTGACTTTGAGTTTACTAGTGGGGATAGACGTTAGTTATGCTTTCTTGAAGTTTAAAATATTCCTTTGGATTATGTCTAACAGTCTTCAAGAAGGGAGAAAAAAGCAATAGCACTTCTTTAAAGCTGTGTGGATTGGAGCTGCACAGTGGTTGCATGAGAAAGTATAGGAGTGAGCACCACAGAATAGAATAGATCCAGTTCTAATGGTAACTGCTTCCTCAAATGTTATTTCTTTTTATTCTTTTCTTTGTTACTTTCACCCTTTGCATTTTGTTCATCTGAGCTGTAACTTACACCTCACTTCACTGGTGCAAGAGCTCAGTTTCGGCTGCCCAAAGTCAATGAGATGTAAATACTTTGAGACCTAGTTTTCTTAAATCCGCTGTAACTCTTTATGATTGTTGACATTAGCAGCAGAATGGCTTACTCATGAGCTAATCAAATTGCAATTCAACGAGTCCAGCAGATGTCTGAGTTTTGCTTCACTGTGAACTTTTTGGAGTCTCTTTCCCTCATTCCCAGGAACCATGACCCAATATTAGCAAAGTATTGCTGATCCAACTAGCAATAACAAGACTGAAATAAGACTCCTTCCCCACAAGCCTCCAAAGGTTCAGAGTTTCAGATACCAAAGCTTCTATGCTTATTCAAATCCTCTTTGGCTTGTAAAACTGAGGGAAGAGAAGTATTTGAGATTGGGCTCTCAGAAGATTTATGGTATTTCCTGCAACTGGTTGACATGGAAATATCAGTTTTCTCACAGTATTCTCGCACTTCAAAGTCATGTTCTGGGTGGAACTTGGCAATACAGATGCATGTAAGAAAAACAGAAGACTATTCTCTTCCCACAACAACAAAAAGAAACTTGGTTTGATTCAGGATTTATGTTAGTTATACCAGGTTTATCCCTCGCTCTCTTTTCTCTTAGGATATCCAAGGGAAGAAGGCTGCTCAAATCTCCCTGCACAGTAACTGATTTTAGTATTACAGAGATAATCTTCACAGTGCAGGCCAGCCAACCTGGAGTTCCTTGTCCATCTTCTATCTGCTCAAGGTGGACACTGGGTTTTCCAAAAGGAAGACACATTACAGAAAGAAAGGAACTGCCAAGGAAATTGGGGACATTCTGATGTTGGGCAGGGAAAGTCTGAAAACTCGTGGCTCAAACCTACTTTCTCTTTGGCCTATTATCTACACAGTCAGTTTGATTTCAGAGAATAGCTTTTGTCCATATTATGTGAATTTTCTGGATAATCTACTCCTCACAATGCAGGACATAAAAACATTTTCTCCAATATGGTTTGGTGGTTGGGGGGGGACCTCACAAACCTAGTTACTTTCTGTATGAGGCTTTGTGTCTTTATGTTCCACCTATTTTCTTCTTAATTAAATCCTCTGACTATGGCTAGTGTGGGGATAAACTCACTTTCAAATTTATGATTGATTTTCCAATGTAATTTTGACATCCCAAATTACATTCAATATGTAGGAGTGTGTTCCACCTTTTTGTGTCTGCTCGATTTACTTTTATGACTGTAATACCACTGATGCAAATGCTAAGGTTTATTCATTTTCTGCAAGAATAGTTCTCTTTTAGGAGTAAAGAGAGGAGTAGGATAAGAAATTTAAATTGATTTATTTCCACTCATCTTGCCTGATCTGTTTTGGCACTAACGACAGAGGGAACCGATTTCAGGCACCAGGATTATCAGTATAAATACTAACCGACTAAACTGAGGCAATCTTCTTGTTTGGGGTTATGAAGACAACCACTTCCTGAATATTACGCATTGCTAAAGACTGCCATTTTGTTGCCAGATGCTTCCAACGTTAGGAATCCCAACCATTGCAAGTAACCGGGGCAATCGCTGCTCTAAGTTGCACCAGTAATGCATTACTATCCACAGAATGAGATTGTTTGGGCCTGAACTGTTTCATTCATGTTATTTATTAATTTTCCTTTCTCCCAGAACAGCTGAAGAACCAAAACATGACAAGTAATCACTGCCATTACTGCATGGAATCCCTTCTTGGCAGGAGGTATGCATTTAGAGAAGAGAATTCTTACTGTGTTACATGTTATGATGGCCTATTTGCTAACTCCTGTGAAGAATGCAAGAAGCCCATTGAATGTGATGCCAAGGTAAGCATTTAGTTCATTTTTCTGTATTTATTGAGATTGTTAAATCACAGAGCATGAAATCCGCCTCTTTGGGGGTGGGTTCCACCCAAGGCTCTCTGTGCCACGGAAGGCTTCAGAATCCCTGCACAGGTGTGGCGACCTGGACTTAGCTGTTGTACAAAGGGGAGATGGAGCCTCTGCACACCAGGGAGGGGGGGTTCTATGCTGACTGGAAGTATGCTGCTGCAGAAGGAAGCGTTGAGGGCAGGGACCAGAGGACCTACATTTATGTGGATGCAGTGGTGGAGAAGCCTTGAATAGAGTCTGTAGTGTAGTGGTGATCTATGGTCTACCCCGACATTAATAAGTGGATTCCATCCCTCACTGCCACTTAATTTCCTGCATAAAGACTGCACAGTTTGGTGGATGGGACTGGGGAGAGGGTCCACCCAGTAAGCAATAGAACTACTTAATTCACTACCACAATATTTTGTAGTATCGTCAACTTCTGATGAAGCATTACCTTACTTAACAATTTTAGGGTTTTATACCTATGTCCTTTGTTGTAGGACCTGAGTGCCTTCCATATAAAATCGATTAGCATACCAAAGTCCCTAGTGGACCTCCTAGAGTCTCTGGCTCTTCTGCCTTTTGGAGGGTATAAAAACTCTGGGGTTGTATGTTTGCTTGTTGTGTGTGTTGTTCCTGTTGTGGCAGAAAGGCTTGGTTATTGTAGAGAGATATCTTGGGTTGTTTACATTTATCTTTCACTCTAGCACTCTCAGTAGTTGCAATCTCTCACTCTCTCCTCTCTTGCTGTCCCTTATTCAATAGATAAGATCGCAGGAAACTTTAAAATAAATACTTCTGAGAGATGTCAAGTGAAAAACAACTTCACTTTGTCTATAAATCATTTCTATTGCAAATGTTTAGTCAACACACAGGAGTTCGACTGGAAGGCAACAATATTTATCATTTTTATGTAATGCTGTCTGTCTTTGTAAACAAGATGCCTTGAGAGGGCGTATTTTGATTAAAATATCTTACTTGCAGTATGACAGCTTAATTTCTTATTTATCTCACAATGCCTGGCTTGTCTCATAAAGGAAATCTCCATGATAGACGCAATCAGACAGAACAAACTTCTGGACTTTGCTTTCCTTGAATCTAGGCCCCTTGTAGAACATTAATTAGAACTGCGAGATCCCAAGTAGATGCAGTTAGCTGGGTGGCATCTGTCAGCTTTTTTCTTTGGCTCTGTCTCACAACCCTGCATTTCACTTTGAATTTCATATTCAAATGAACCCAGAAACTTAAAGATGATCAAAACATCTGTGTTTCACACGGTTTCAAAACACAGTCAGAAATTTGCCCAGGCTCACTTGTACCATAGACCAGGTTTGCTCACAAAGTTTGGAAAAGCAGGAGATCTGAGTTCAGAAATCACATCAGGATTAGTGGTGCAAGTTTAGTTCATAATAATATTTAATTACAGAGATGGACCCAAGCCACAATATTTGGAGCCAGATCTGGGTTTGTGGTTCAGCTCGTTATAGGAATAAAGTCCAGCTGCAATCTCCTGATCCAGATCTTCCTCATAATTAGGTGTGCTTGGATCTGGAAGGGTGCTGGTTTGCCATAAAGTAACTTGAGATCTGGATCCACCTCCTACTGCATCTGGTGATATTTGGTTCAAGGGTTTTAGGCCCAGTTTTAAATAACATAACAGACGATACTGTTCTTTCCATCGTCAAAGCACTGCAAAAACATTAATCCTCTCAACATACCCATAACCAGTGCTTAATTTGTGCCATGGGCTTGCCAGGGCTGAGCCCTGGCACCTCTAGGTTTGCCGCATCAGTTATGAAAGTAAAAAGAAGCCTTGAGCCCTCGCACCTACTTGCTTGAGCCCCAGCACTACTTTCATTACAAATTTAAGCACTGCCCATAACAGAGGTAAGTAACTATTATTCCCAATTTACAGATGAAAAAATTAAGCCTGAGATTTGGGTACACCTATGCTGAAGCTGGAAGATGTATATTCCAGCTCAGGGAGACATACCTGTGCTAGGCCTGATTGAGCTAGTGCACTAAAACTAGAAGTGTAGCTGCAGAGGCATGAGTGGCTAGCCATCCCAAGTACAATCCCATCCAAGACCATAGACAGGTACTCAGGGAGATAACCCCTCATGCTGCTTGCGCCATATTTTTAGCATGCTTGCTGAATCATTGCTAGCGTGGGTATGTCTCCTCAAGCTATGTCTCCTCAAGCTGGAATTTACACATTCCTGCTCTAGTGTAGACATACCCTTAGAGAGTGGTCCAGACCCAAAGAGGAATCAGTGTCTGATCCACGATTTGAGCTCAGGAATTCCCAAACCATGCACTTAGCATATATCATGTTCTCAGGGCCCAGTTAATATGGAAGCTGACCTCGGCACAGGGATTGCGGTTGAGTGGAAGTTTCTTTACTTCAGCTTTAAGCCTGTCCTATCCTGCGCTGTCTTGCTGATGGTTTAGCCCCAAGTGCAGGGTAGAACTGCCTGAGAGCTGCCTCAACTTGTGATTCCTGTCCGTAGCCCTAAATGGCCACTGCAGAAGCTCAGACAAGCCAGGGCACAGCAGCAGCCCAGCCAACAACATCTCTGTCTCTGCATCAGTGCCACAGCATTTCCCCTATGCTAAAGGTATCTGCAACAGATGATCTAGGGGTGTTCTATCAGCCCGGGGAAGCACCCTACATTGGGGGGAAATCCCTAGAGGTCTGGGTCTGATGGCTTTATGACCCCGTTACGTTAGCAGAACCCACTCAAAGAGGCCAGAGGATAATGGGAGGGTAATGGTGGGCAAGGCCCTTCCTCTTCAGGGAAGGGGTCAATGGCCCTTGTGGAGGTTCAAGATAGGGCCCAGCTGTGTTTCATATGCAAATTATCAAGGAAAAACTGCTGATTTGGGGAGAACTGTCCCAAAACTCTATGACCTGCATTTTCAACAACAAATTCTTCTATGTGGCCAAGAGAGCCTGTATTCTGAAGCCTAACCAACCTGCCTAATCCAAAATTTAAATTTAAAACAAGCTAAGCAGCAGGATCTTTTCATACGAATGATTTTGTCCCCTAGATGAATGGTTGAATCATCTCCCTAGGACTATAGCGTGTCTACATTACAAGCACTACAGCGGCACAGCACTTCCATCGCTGTAGTAAATCACCCGCTCGAGAGGAGGTAGCTAGGTGGATGGAAGAATTCTACACCAGGACTTAGGTTGCCTTAACAGAATGTTTCTTAGCGGTGTGAATTTTTCACACTCCTGAGCTACATAGCTAAGTTGTCCTAAGTTTTAGGCATAGAGCAGGCCTGAGAGACAGGAAAAGATAATAGGAGTGAAATGAAGGGGGTACAACAGTCAACTAAAAAAATTGCCCCCTTAGGCTGACAATTGGTTGTTCCTCACAGAATTAAGGGGCCAGCTCTCTGCCGCCTTCTTCTCTCCTTTGTATTTATTTTTAGTTATTTTTTGCCTCAGGCTACTCTTTGACAACAGTTTTTGTTTTATAGGCACTTGGAGAGAGCAGTAGGTGTTCAGCACCTCTTAAAATCAAGTCTTATGTATTTTATTTCCCCTTTTATTACTTTAAGGGGGACTGACAAGGGCAATAAAAGGGATAGAATTTGTGCCTTTTTGTGCTTCTTTCATTAGAAAAAAGACCTGGAAGGATTTGGTTTATTTCTTATAGGATTTGTTGCTGTTTAGCTGTTTGTTTTTCTGCTTGTTTTTTTTAAACCTTAGAAATGTCAGGAGTGTTAAGCCATATCTTCCTTGATTTTAATGAAACAAAGAGAAAACCTTGTATGTATCTTCTTAGCTTTCTCAGCTCTTAAGCATGTTGGATTATTAAAAGAAAATCTTTTCTTCCAGCTTGTTAGAGGGTGATTGAGTTAAATGGGTGTTAACAAAAAACAAACAAATGCAAAGGGTTTAATAGTCTGAGTAAAAATCACTTCCCCCCCTCAGTTAAACAGGTTTCACTTGCTTGCTATCTGTGAGGCCATAACCCTTTAAGTTCTTCAGTTGTCCATAGAGTCTTCCAGGGGGGCAAAAAAAGACCTGAGTTTTTCATGTGGAGACCATGCAAGAAAAAAAAATCTGGTGGTGTTTATTAAAGGGATGAAACCCATTTGTTTCCCGGGAAGGTTGCCTTTAAAATACAAAGTCATCCTTTATATTAAACAAAAAATACTTCTCAAGTGTGGGGGCATGGAGTATCAACTATAGCCTGAGCCAAAGCAGCTCTTTGTGGCCAATAAAAGTGAACTACAGAATATCCTGACAGTCTTTCCACTTTGGATAGATTTTGTCATGTTTGACAATTACCCTCCAGACAGTGGCACAAGCCACTGGTCCAGTCACTCTCCAACTGGTTTTTGTTTAGTTTAAAAAAAAAAAAAAAGTGTGGGGCTGTGGGGGTAAACAAATGCTTTCCATTAACATGTATTTTCTGTCTCAAAGGATCTCGCCTATAAAGGCCGTCACTGGCATGAAGCGTGCTTCAAGTGTGCCAGATGCAATCACTCTTTGGTGGAAAAGCCTTTTGCTGCCAAGGATGAGCTCTTGCTGTGTACTCAGTGTTATTCTAATGAGTATTCATCGAAGTGCTTCCACTGTCAGAAGGCCATTATGCCTGGTAAGATAACAAGGACTCTTCGCTACTTCTGTGAAATGGTTATATTGCACTTTTAATTAAATGCAAGCACTTGGATAGTTAAGCTGCAAAGTATAATTTCTTGGCTTTCAGTACAGCATGCAGTGGACTATCTCCCCCCATTTAATTCTTCTGTCAGTTAGTGGGGTGGGGGAAGGCAGATACATGCTCATCTTCTGTGATCTAACATTGCATGTGTAATTATATTACACCCCACAAGGAATAATATTACAGTCTTGAAACAGAATCAGATTTGCCCACATAGACTCATTGACTTTGCCTACACTGGCAATTTTCAGGAAAATTACAATTAGACTTGCTACAGTGGGAGTGCTAGTATGAGCGTAGGGAACACTACTATCTGTATTTTTCCATTATGTCATCTAGACCTTCAGGGATCAGACCTGGTTACAGGTTTTTTTTGCATGGAAATTTTTGTTGTTAAAAATGGCATCTTCAAAGATGAAAAAAATTTGAAAGAAAAGTTTCAAGATGTTTTGTTTTTGTGATGTTTTCTATGATTAGTTTTAACTTGAATTTATATCAGATTAAATGTCTTAAAATTATCAACATTTTTAATTTACCAAACATTGGGTTTAGTTTTGTTTTGTTTTTTACTGAAAACCAGTTTCAAAAATGATTTCAGTAAAAATGACAGCTTTGTGGAGGGAGGGGGGGAGAAGGAGAATCATTAAAAAACCCCACAGGAAATTTGTCTTATTTTGAACCCTGCAAAACTTAAACCACTTTGGAATTTCTAAAATTTGTCACTAAATCACTTTGTTTTTTTTCAACCAGCTCTGTTCAGGATTTACCATGGTGGTGTTTCTGCATGAGTTGGGCAGATTCAATCCTAACTCAATAGTGGGAGATTCCCTGAAAACACCATGCAACTGAAGAGACAATGGCAGCTCATATGTGGCAAGATGAACTGCCTTATCTAGAGCAGTGTGTCTCAACCTTTTTGATACCAGGGACAGCTCGCTCCCTTCCTAAACTGTGTCAGGGAAATCTCAGGGACCGGTCCTTGAGAAACACTGGTCTAGGGCATTAACAAATAGGATCTGGCAAACATTAAGAGAAACCAATGGGAAAGGAGGGTTGGCTAATTTTTCAGGAGACCTTGGTTCCAAAATACTTAGGCCTGGTCTACACACAGTTTTTGTATTGGTATAGCTCTTTTGGTTAGGGATGTGATTGATTTTTTTTTTTTTACTGGTAAAACCCATAGTGTGGATGCAGTTATACTACTGTAAAGGTGCTATAGTTCATTCCCCTTCCTTCCCTTACAGACATAAACTATACCGAGGCCTGGTCTACACTAAAAAGTTAAGTTGGAATATCTACATCAGTCAGAGGTGAACAAAATCCACACCCATGACCAACATACCTAGGCAAATCTAGGCCCCAGTGTAGACACAGTGAGGTCGACTGAACCTAGCTACTATCATTCGGGAAGGTGGT